CATTAGTCCACGCATGAACCGACGTAGAAATTATACTACGGATGTGTGAGTGCGATCTACCACCTTTTCCATCACTTTCTGTGTCTTTATTTACAGGGTCGTTATTTCCCTTGTAGGCGTCTTGTCTTGAGTGGTATGCCTTGTGTATGCTGCTTGTATGTGTATTTGAACTTGTGTTGGAATGCATAACTGATGATCACTTCTGATGAGTTGTCAGTCCAATCAAAAAGGCTGTAACAGTGGTTGGCACTGATTGGCTCTTTCTTTTTTTTTTCTTTTTTCTTTTTTTTTCTTTTTTCTTTTATTTTTAATGACGTCAGAAAAAGAAGCAAGGTGATGGTAAGAGCATTCCCCACTTGCTATCCTTCTGATGACACTGCTCGACACTGCTTGGCTCCTTTGTCCCACTTTTTTCCTATTCAAAAGAATGAATGATAAATCTTGTATCAAGTTGTATATGTGTATAATATGTAACATTTCAAGTTTTGTTTTTTCAACAAGATTTCACAGTATATGAACGTGCAGTTGTTATTTATGTTATATCTATGCATAACTAATATGATATTATATTCACATATTCTACATACATAAATGCTTATTTATGTACGTATGTAACTAATAATTATCCTTATATTTTTCACATAGATGATGAATATTCGTTTACTATTGAAAGCAAACGGCGAATGGAGAGAGCAAGAGCGCGCGCGCGCGCGCGCGCGCGCGAGAGAGAGAGAGAGAGAGAGAGAGAGAGAGAGAGAGAGAGAGAGAGAGAGAGAGAGAGAGGTGTGTGTGTGTGTGTGTCTCCCAATGCGTACACCAAGCCTGTCGAATTAAGAGCAGCACACATTAAGTCTCCCCTTGGCGTGGGGAGATCTGCCAAGGTTTGCCATTTATTGGTCGCAGGATCGAATTCCTCAACTGTTCCAAGAGGATTGTACTCCCCATCATAGCCCCCCAGTAAATACACCTGCAAAAAAAACGAGGAGGACGCATGAGGAGGTGTCTAAGTGGACAAACTATATATCTAGTTAGAAGATAGATCTGCATGGGTCCTGAAGACCAACTCACGCAAGAGTGTTCACAGCATGCATCATCGCCGTACACAAGAATGGAAAATTTCACACACTTGACAAAGAGGTAAGAAGAGAAGCGAGTTACACAGCTTATATTATCAAAAATATGATTACAAAGAGTGTCACAGTTCCCTGAGTTCAGGCGTTCATCCGCGCAGTACAAATCTCTCATCCAACTTATCAATGTGGCTTCTACACATTAGCGCCACCTCTGTAGATCATATCCAACTCAGGGAAGTATTCACCATAGCCAACCCTTGGTTGCACACTCTCTGTCTCAGTTTCTCCTTCCTACTACGCATGCACACTCTCTTCTCTCAAGGATCTACTCTGAATGCTACTCATAGAAGACTACTACTAACCCTCTAAGTCTACTACTAACTCGCTGGGCAGCTATGGCTGCTTCTCTTCCCAGCGCCCACTCTCCTTCCCTCTTCTAGCGCATTTTCACCCTCCAGCGCTGCTCCTCCTGGCTGGCGCACAAGTGCTTCAGCACTTCCACGCACAGAATGCCAGTAGAGATCTGGCGTTGAATGAGGCTGGCTGCTTCCTTTATAGCGCTGGCCTCTTCACGTTGGGTCTGCATTGGCTCATTCAGGCCTTCCTGTGTCCCAGACCCTGCATTGCATGTGTCCCAGTACTGTCCCAATGAGGTCTGCTGCTGCTGAGGCCCTTCGGCCTGGATTTGGACTTGGACGTCTCGATCTCGACTGTTTCTCAAACTTAGACCAGAACTGGGACTCTGTTTATTGACTTCCTTTTGAACAGACACAACTTTTGACGAACAGACACACTTACTTCCTGAACAGACATCTATATCGCGTGAATAGACACACTCCCTTTGCACGAGTCGACACACTGACTGCACGTACAGACACATCCCTATCTGCACAGATATGACATGTGCAACCCCTGGCGAACAGGTATCTCCTTCAGCAATGACCTTTAGCAATGACTTCTTGCTTTAGTTGAGATGTGCCCTTTGACCAGAGAACTTGACCTTTGATCTGCTTTCACGTTCCCTGGGTCCTGGCGAGATACCCCTTCACGCTACTTTACTTTTACAAGGCCTGAATCGGGTAAAGGCCCTTTTAGATCCAACAAATGGTTGCGAAGGCAAATCATAAGGTGAGGTTCTCACAGAAGATGCAACTTTCGAAAGAAAACAAGAAAAAAATGTGACGTAGGGAATACTCACACCAGGACTTTTTGGACAGAATCTGGCTCTGATTGCACTAAAATACATGCAGATCACAGAAGATTAAACTTTCGAAAGAAAACAGAAAGAAAAAAAAAAGGTGACTCGGGAAGAGTCGGACCAGGACTTTTTGGAGAGAATCTGGCTGTAATTCGGCTCAAATTATATACATGCAGATCACGGAAGATGCAACTTCCGGAAGAAAACAGAAGTGACTTAGGGGGGTACGCTGCAGACCAGGACTTTTTGGACAGAATCTGGCTATAATTGCGCTTAAATACATGCAGATCACAGAAGATTCAACTTCCTAAAGAAAACAGGAAAAAAATGTGACTTAGGGAAAACTCAGACCAGGAATTTTTGGACAGAATCTGGCTGCAATTGCGCTACAAATGCATGCAGAAAACTCCAAGCGCGAGTAGGCCCTTAGCCTTAGGTGAAACACAATCTGAAATAATAAAGCAAGCCCAACACTTTCTCACTAAACAACACTATGAATTGTGACAGCAAAAACTGAAAGCATAGATGAGGGCAACAAACCTGGGCACATGGATTCGCTTAGGGACATCCGTCAAAATTGGAACGATAGGGCAGGGCAGATCCCAGGACGACGAAGAAGAAGAGCACCAGCGTTTGATAAAGAAGGAGATGGCTGCCACTTTGACAAACACTTAACAGGATGGTTTCGATGGCGACCCTGCCTATCCCCAACAGCACAGGTAAGAGGAGGCGCCTCACAGCGCTCAGGGCAAATGCCCAGCGCAGTCACAACACGAGCCAGGAAGCCCCAGATATGGAGGAAAGACCTAGCAGCATGAAGATGATGCCGAAAGTGAAATAATGCACCACCCAAACAGCACGCAACCTCCAGCAGCACTTCGTGGAAAAAAAAATGACGAGAACGAACCCGTTTTCCCTTGCCCTCGACACTTCCGTAGACTGCTGTTTTCCCTGACTCGACAGCCTGCAGCCTAGGAACGACGACCTATAGCCTAGGACCGAATCTAGACCTAAAATTGGCAAAAGGTGAGGACAGAAACGACCTACAACTCAAGGGCAGAAAGGACACAGAGAGGCCTAGTGGTATTACAGCTAGCCCACAGAGAATACTCCAAACAGACCTAGGGATCCAGCCCAGTTGGGCTTTCACACCAAAAAAAAAACACAGCAAACAAAACAGGTCACGGGATCGAATCCCAGAGAGCTCAAAAGCAGGCAACACCAAACGAAGTTAGTGTACAGCCCACATGCCACTGCAATGCATTGCATTAGCATGGCCCCTGCGCATGGATGCCGCGCATAAATCGATAAATGGTCCAAAATTTGGCAAATTATTATTTAAAAAAAAAAAAAAAAACTGGGCACATGGATTCGCAACAACCTTTCCATTAGAAATCTGAAATAAAGCAAAGCCGCCACTTTTCACGAAGCGCTATGAATTGAGTCGGCGAAAAACTGACAGCGCACAGATCAGGACCACCACCCTGGACACATGGATTTGCACCACTAACCTTGCCATCCAAAGAAGTAGCACAGGGATCACTCCGATTTACACTTGCGCTCGGCCCTTCACTCCATGTGTTTGTCGGAATGTCGTAGATGGAAAGACTATTCAATGGTGGTGTGGGATCCGAAAGCTTCCCACCCGCAACATATATTTTACCTGCACATCCATTCAAGGAACAGTTACGGTGGGTTGGCATGACAACCAGGTTTTGAGTCTTTTGACAATTCCTGCATCACCTCCCTCTTTTCCATCCATCGATTTCCAAGTGTTCCTCCTCTTTGCCCGTTTCCTCCGCTCTCAGAACCTTGAGATCCTGAGGAAGGACGGAAGGGAGGAAGGAAGAAGGAAGGAAAATTGGGAGGGGCGAGAGGGAGCGAGGCAAATCTGTTTATGACTTATAAGCTGTGTTGTCTTGCTGTAAGAGAAGTAGAGAGAAAAATTGGCATGTACAAGGGAATGTCCAATCGTTTCTCTGATAACAATAACAAACTCATTCGTTTGTCTAAACAAGTATACATTTCTTTTGCTACTTTTTTAAACAGGCAGATTACCATGACAGAGTAAGTCGAAACAGAAAGGGAGGGAGGGAGCGAGGGAGGGGATGGGGAGGGAGGGAGGGAGAGAGCGAGGGAGGGGATGGGGAGGGAGGGAGGGAGAGAGCGAGGGAGGGGATGGGGAGGGAGGGAGGGATGTGTGTCATCCTTGCGCAGGGGCCATGCTAATCTTCTCTGTATCGTTGAAATTTTAACAGATGTCTAGTAGGCATATGGATGCATATGCATGTATAATTTTTGCATTGTTAACAAGTATCAAAACTTCCCATGCCCTCTCCATGTAGAGGTGAAGAGGGTTTTCAGGGAATTGAGATCCTATCATTCCTATGACAATTTTGGTGGTCCTGATATGAGGGACTTCAAGCCGGGACAAATGGTCTTTCTGTGACTTTTTGTTTCTGAAACAATGATATTAAAGACTTTAAACTTTAAAGTTTAAAGTTAATAATGAAACTGATCAGAACAAATACTATACAATCTTAGCCACAGGGCTGAGAAACGTATGTTCTGTGCCATTTCATAAAGAAGTTTAGAATGGAAGTGTTCTTTACTTCTTGTACAATTTCATACAAAAAGAAGTTTTAACTTTTAAGTTTTAAGTTTTAACGTAAACAAAGTTAAATTGCTTGCATTTGTTGTGGTCCCTGTGCTTGTCTTATCTGTGCTGCCTTCTCTTTTGCATACTGTTTTCTGTGCTCGTCCGAGCAATTTCTGTTCCTTTGTCTCGGCAACTCAAAAGGAAGTCTGAGCGGACAAGGCAGAAAGGCAAGCTTGAGCTGTCCGGCTCCTCAAACGGACTTGACGATCACTCTTCTTATTTGGAGTTTGTTTTTCTTTTTTCTTTTTTCTCTGTGAAAGGGCAACAGCCTTGACATATCATCTTTCAACTGACCGTCCCTGATAATTCAGAAATATAATCAAATATTTTCATTCTAGTAATCCAGTTCCATCAACTTCCATGGAGATTTGAACTCAGGTCTGCATTTCAACAGTTCATGTGCGTACCAACCGAGATAGGCGCCATTGGAAATTCAGATATATTTCATTCTAGTCATCTAGTTGCCTTCCGGAGTGTGTTTTTTCTTTTCCCTTCTTTTGACACATATCTCAGAGATGCTTTTTCTATGGACAATCTGTTGCCTTGGGGCAGCCACAGGGCTGCATGTCTGCGCTTTATGCTCGCTGCTGAGGCTGCAGTCTATTGGTGGGGAGCAAGACCTGCTGGCAACTGGGGTCAGCGTCCCATAATCATCATAACAGGTGCTGATGGTTAGAGGAGGACAGGCGCCTACTCCATCACAAATAACTTGACATAAGTCTGAAATGACCAAACCCCTGCATCCTTTCAAAAAGAAAGTTACGAGAGCTGTTATAGGTGTCCCAAGCGCTTTCGAATCATGAGCAATCTCTCGGCTCACTGCGCACCAATTCTATTGACGACTTCAAACACCATTATTCAATAATAATATTATGAAAGGGACGCTGGACCCGGTATCCAGCAGGTGAAGCTCCCCACCAATAGACTGGAGTATTTTGTAGAGTGACTAGGGACGGATGCTCCTATCACCGTTCCTAGTTATTCCTGTGGATTTATGTATATATATTTTTTAAATAAAAAAATCCAAGTCAGACCCTCTGAAGCTCAGAGGAAATCCCTCGAAATGGGACAACTGGGGGCAAACATATGTGTTTCAACTTTCAAATGATGGGATAATTAATTCAGGCAAAAGGAGGCGGGAGAGGGTACGGAAGGCCCAGAAGGGAAGGAAGCGATGGGCCAGTTGAAGGGGGGGTTCCTTTTTTTTTGCCTGTTTGGTTTTCTCAACATTTCTGATGTTTGTATTATGAGCCTGCATTGTTTGTTTCCAAAATTTCCCACCATGTTGCTTGTGGCAATTCGCCGAAAAACACCGAATTTTCACCCTTCCATTAACCATCTCTTGATCCGGTCAAAATGGGTCAAAATGGGTCAAAAATGGGTCAAAAATGGGTCAAAATGGGTCAAAATGGGTCAAAATGGGTCAAAATGGGTCTGGGTCAAAATGGCCAAAGTGGCTGAGCCAAAATGATCAAAATGGCTGGGTCTAAAAGGTCAAAATGGCTGGGTCAAAATGGGTCTGGGTCAAAATGGGTGAATGGGTGAAAATGGTCAAAATGTCTGGGCCAAAATGGTCAAAATGGCTGGGCCAAAATGGTCAAAATGGCTGGGTTACAATGGTCAAAATGGCTGGGTCAAAATGGCTGGGTCAAAATGGTGAAAAAAAAGGGTCAAAATGGGTCTGGGTAAAAATGGGTGAATGGATGAAAATGGTCAGAATGGGTTCCAAGATGGAGTTGAAAAAAAAGGAAGTAGAAGTCACATATGGCATGGGAATGTAAGCAAAGGTAGGTTGGCACTTACTTCCAACAAGTGCAATTCCAAACCGGTAGCGTGGTTTGCTCATCGGTTTAAGTTCAGTGAGGTTATGCAAGAGCGGATCGAAGAGCCAGAGCGTGTTAAACACGGTTCCATTTCCAGAAACACCTCCGACTATGTAGATTAAATCATTGTAAGCCACTGTGCCAAAGTCCGACATAGCCACTGCACCAAAATGTCGAACAACAGAACACAAGAACAGTGAAAACAAAACATGTCACCGGCAGATTAACAACAACCAAGAAGAAGAAGAAGAAGAAGAAGAAGAAGAAGAAGAAGAAGAAGAAGAAGAAGAAGAAGAAGAAGAAGAAGAAGAAGAACAGTGAAAACAGTCAAGGTCTATAGTACTCTATACCTCGTCATGTTCCATCTTCAGGTCAGGTACCATCAGTGTCATGGCATTGTCCCAAAAACAATCGCCAGAGCAACAAAATGTCTAAGAAATGAAAGAAGCACCCACAAAACAATCACCACACTTATATCCAAGATGCAACCACAGTTTCCATAAGGGATGCTGCCCGGATGGCAGATCCCGTATCTGTGGAGAAGAAGGGAGGAGGAAGAAGGTGGAAATGGAGATGGAGATGTAGCTGAAGGGGAGAGAGACAACACCATCAAGGACTCGACACCACACACGTACTCCAGAACTGCACAGTGAAGAATGAGATTGAAAACAGACTGCAGTTCGGGTACACACACCCTCAGCGGACTGACTGGAGTGGACTGGACCAGTACCAACAGCGGTACTGGACTTAATGAATATACAGCCCGTGGGATCAGGCTGATGGCCTGGTCCCTCTGGCCGAACATGCACAAAGCCAAATAGCCCCGGCTGTAGGCCGGGGTAAGTAGAGTCCCGCTGCAGTTTCACTGCACACACATCTATCACATCCTGTCCCCTGTGGAGCAGATCAAAGCTGCAGCCCCCTCTTTTCAATCAGTGATTTAGTGGTATACGTCCCCCGTGCGGCGTGTTATGCCTCCAGGGCAGGGAGATGAGGATGGTAGGTCGATTTGATGGTATGCAGAATGCTCTGCAGTGACTTCTGAATCCGTCATCCGTCATTAGTTACAAATTATGGTCCTCCCTCAGTGCCCTCCACACATAGCAGAACGAGAAAGTTGCGCCATTTTTTATGAGGAGGCCCTCATCAAATTACTCTTGCCATAAAAAATCCCATACAGCAGAACGAGACAGTTGCACCATTTTTTATGAGGAGGCCCTCACATACCTGTCCCCACTATTTGGTTAGACTACCGGTACGTTTCCCAGCCATTTTTTTCCGATGCAGCAGCATGCACGCCGCGACTTTTGGGGGTTGGCTACCGGGCTGGCACTGCCAGCCAAAAGGAGGCCCCGCTGGGCGTTTGAAGCCTCCGTAAAAAGTGGCGCAGAAGTCCCTGGTGGTTTAAACACCAGTCCTTTCCACCCAATCAACACCAGTATGGAAAGCAAGAAGGAAGGGCATACAAGTTCAGATGGAGAGGAACATTTCTCACTACCTGCTCCCCCTCTGTGCTGAGGTGTAAGATCCACGATAATTTGGTGTGGTGCTCATGTGTTGGACGGAGCTACTGTCTTTACCCGAACAGAATGTGCGGTCATTATTGCTGTATCCAGAGAGAAAGTTGCCCCAAATACAGCTGTAATGACCAGGCGTTCGATTTGGGTAAAGGTCGTACTCTTGAAATGAGGGAAGCAGCTTTTGGGAAAGTCTCCAATGAGGTAGGGGAGATGGGGAGACCTAACCAGGACAAACCTTCTCTTTCTCCCCTCTCCGGGAGAGCACACGATCCAAGTCAGGTGCCCCATATGTTCTGCAATCCAAAGTAAGCTGTGGAGGTAGAAGCCCAAGGTGAAGGGGAAGGGAGCATGGTTCCTAGATAGCAGATACACCTGGCTAGAAGAGGCGCCCTGTTCAAAGGGTGAAGAGGCACTTGTATCTCCACAGCCTTTCCAACCGCTCAGTCAGTTTTGTTTTTTCTCCCCTGTCTGCCAAGTGCCTGTTCTCAGATAGTACCCTGCTCAGTCAATCCCCTGGCATCCAGGGTAACCAATGCTGGCATGGGAAGGCTTTTCCAAATGTTCTAACCATGTAGTATATTTCATATGGGATGCTGGGCCCGGTTCCCGGCACGTGCTTCTCTCCACGAATAGAACGGAGCCCTTTATTTTATTTTATTTTTAAAGAAAAAAAAAAGAAAAAAAAAGAGGGTGCATGGTTCCTAATCATGGTGATTGTTGAGATGTGGGTGAGAATGATCGAGGTGCAAATCTATTCTTCTTAGGGGAGGACGAGGGAGTGTGTACATAAACAAGTAGTTGCTTGCTCGAAATTGAAATGTCAGAGCTCAAACAGGCCTTTCTTCCTCTTTCTTTTTTTTTCCCCCCCCCAAACAGTAAGGGTCTCCAAAAACTGCCTCAAGTAGTTCAGAGTTATATATAATAATTAAATAATGGTAATAAGAAACAACGGCGGGCGCGGCAGGTTTTGAGTTCGAATAGAGGCAAAGGCGACATGTGGGCCATCCATCCGATGACATCATGATGTAGCCAGGCCCCACCCCTACCCTCAATGTTTCCTATTTTAGTATTTTTCTCTCTTCTGTCAACAACGAGTCGAACTTCATGAAAACTGGAGAATTGTGCTCCTTCAGTTTGTCAAAAGACACTCTATGATTGGGGAAAAACTGGCTTTTCAGGTCGTCAAAAGCTATGATATGAGCCAGGAGTGACGCGCAGCGGCGAGTAAGAGAAGAGTGAAGACCACAGGCACCGTGAAACCGATCAAATGCACAAGTAAATACAGGCACGAAGTGTAGGCATGCACAACAGCACTCACTTGATCACAAAGCGCACAAGGTCCAGGCATGCACAACAGCGCTCACTTGAACACGAAGTGCACGAGGTCCAGGCGTGCACAACAGCGCTCACTTGAACACAAAGTGCAGGTCCTGGAGAACAGCGGCACAAAGTACATCGTACATGGCAGGAAATACGTAGAACACAACACATCAACAGCCTGCATTCCATTTTTTTTTTTCTAACCAGCAATAATATCACCCGTCAAAAACATAACGATGCACATGCCCCATATATATATATATATAAAGGATGCCCCGAACATGTATGTATATGAGGAACAAGTTTATTTTGGGGACTGTAACAGACCTCGAGGCCAATCACGGCCATCCATAAGCTAAAATGAGGAGCATTTTTAGTTGTTAATCTAGCAGTCTAGCAATTAGAGAAAAATTAAAGCATGGGGTGACTACGTTAATGTGACCTTTGAGTTTCTAATGGCCAAAAAAAAAAATGCGGCCACAAAGAAAGCAGCTGCCGAGTTAGAAAGCGCAATGAACGTACCACGACCGTGGTGTCCGGCCGGGTGTCATAACTACAGGGATCATCGTGGTGTCAGACGGGGAAACAAAAAAGGCTCAACGGATCCTCTTCTACCTAAAGTGCATTTTCAAACTCGGCAGCTATTTTCTTCGCACACGCATGTCTTTTTCGCCTTTGCAAAGTCAAAACCTGCCACGTCCATACTTCTTTCTAGCACAAGTACACGGCTACCTGGGATTTCCGGAGGCGCAAAACACTTTGGAGCCCACTGATCCAATTTATAAATGGCGGCCCCAGCTTCTTGACGTTTCAGACTCTTGAATTTGTGGCGACGAGTTTCTTACTGCAAGGCTGGGGCCGTGTACTGGTGGTTACCAGCATTTTACAGAGCATTGTCGTCAGTCCCTGAAAGAAACTTTCAATCCAGCTACTTGATTGTTTTTTGTTTTTTTTTTTTTCCCTTACTCGAGTGTTTTGTATTGCAGGGTGAGGTGGCACCTGGAAATTTTGGGCCTACTGGTCGAACGTTTTGTATTGGAGCACCGCACCTGGAAGGTTTGGGCGTATTCGTCGAATGCTCTTTATCGTTGGAGCAAAACAGGGGGAAGTTTTGGGCCTACCAGGTGGCAGCAGGGGGCAAAAGTATATGCAATTTTGCTGCGACTGGGCACAATCAAGGCAATGGGTACTCGATAAATTTGGACCACCCTCTGAAGGGCATTCAAGGAATTTCACATCTTCGAGGGGGAACGGCCTCGCCTTCAAGGGGTAAAACACAAAATTTTCCCTCTTAGAAAAAAAATTGGAAAGAGAAGTTGTAAGTTCCTTGGTGGTGCATCTCGCAATTGCCATTTCACGATCCTGTGCATCCTCTCATGTCCATTTGGTCATTCCAGGTTTTTTCTAAAAGGGGATTTTTTTGTGTTTTGCCCTTTGAAGACGAGCGAGGTGGTTCCCATGTTGCCCCTCGAAGATGTGAAATTCCTTGAATGCCCTTCCGAGGGTGGTCCCAATTTGTCGAGTACCCATTGCCTTGATTGTACCCAGTGGCAGGATCCGGAATGCCCTTCAGAGGGTGGTCCAAATTTGTTGAGTACCCATTGCCTTTCCAGATCCTGTATGTTGTTTTGCAAAACAGCACACAGGATCTGGAAAGGCCCACGCACTCAGCTCCGAAGAGAACCTGAGAGGCTGCACCCCTGAGAAGTTTTGTCCCCTCCAACGCACAGAAATTGTAGTTGGCATATACAACACTCAGCTGCTTCCACTCTTTCTCTGAAAAACAACAAACAGCTTTACTGTAAAGGGGCAATTGGTGTCCAAAATGCATTTATTCGTGTGGCACCCCTCAAACTGCCAGTTTTTCTGCCATGCTCCTTTGGCCCGAAATCCTTTCCGCAGGGCCATGTAAGACAGCGGGGCAACTTTGCACCATGTCCTTCTCCAACCAGTGCTCGAGCCTGCACCAGTCTTTCCTCGCCACACCCTTGTCCGAGGAGGCATCTTTCCCACATACTCAACAGCATTCAGCTGCCACTTGCACGTGCTCTCTCTCTCTCTCTCTCTCTCTCTCTCTCTCTCTCTCTCTCTCTCTCTCTCTCTCT